GTTTACTGCTCCATCTTGCTGATGAAGTACTACATGAGAATGCTGACTGGCTATCTTGTGATATCTGGAAGCAGTAAATATATGAATTCAAAGCCAGCACTCATTTAGACACCGGCTGTTATTGAGCTTGTCTGGGAACTCGTCTGACACCATTTAAAAGATGTAACTCCTTGTTCCAAAACTCCCCTCACAGGACAATCATCCCACTATGTCTCTACAGGCCTCACATGGAAGAGAAATCATTATCAATTGAGTTTTTTGCTCTTGTGCTGTTGTTTCTGTGTAAAGTTTTAATTACGCTGCTCATTTTTGAAGCTTTTCAATAAACATGTTTCATTAAAGATAACGTACAGGAGTCAGTGTAGCCTCTTGAAGTTTCCTGTGAATGTAGCCATCTCTAAAATATGAAGCACAGTTCTTCTTACTGTGTTTTTCTCAAATACAGTAGTGTTGTGGAGTCCAAGATCCTGTGAAGACATGGTATTAACATCTGTCCCAAGTGGACAATTGAAAGATTAGGTATTCCTTTAGCTGTGTGAATCCTAATGCATCCTAGGACACATGGTGGGACTGCCTGTTCAGCTGAAGTCTTCTACGAAACCAAAACAAACCAAGACCTTCAGGAAGACCCAAACTACATCTCTGTATCAGGATTACAGCAAAGAGAAAATCATACCAGAGACAAAGCTCTGTGATAACATGTTTTTCATATTTAACTATTACAGCTACACACCAGAGATGAAACAATTAAGCATAATAGTCGACTCAGCTTTTCCAATGAAAATACTTGCTCATGTTCCTATCTTTTACAAAACCAAATTGAATAACTTGGTTGAGGATTATTGTTTGAACAACACTAGTCACATAAAGATACCACTTTGAATCCTGGGTATTTCATGTTGGGTGTTGTTCAATATTTTGTTGCAAACAATATAAATTTAGTCCAGAAAATATCTGTGGAATGCATTGAAAAAATAAAAGATTTGGCTGCATTTGTAAAATGTGCTGCTACAAACAGCTCTTGCAATACCAACACAATAGGCTACCATACAATGGAATAGTAACACAAGGGACAGAGGGGAGATGGATGAGGACAGAGCAGCCAGATCTGCCACCGCAGGATATTTTCCTCTGTCGAGTAGGAGGGAAGCTGAAGGGTCAAAAACAGCACAACAGCAAACAAAAAGGGGAGAGATGAGGACAGATCCAGTAGTTTTTACATGACTAAGAGTGTGTGAATAGTTCCTGGATGTCAGAGGACACCAGAGACATGAGTCAAATATAAGAGCAAGAGACCTGTAACCCAATTAGACTAAAAAGATGTCTTCCAAGGTCCAATGTTGCATCTTCATTTTGCTTATTTTTTCTTATCAACAGTCTACATGTAATTTAAAGTGATGAACATTAAGAGACAATGTTTGGCATCTTTGCTTAATAAATAAAGTGACAAGTCAGTATTATATATTTGAGTAATAATTTAATATATATTGTATTCTGTGAATCCTTGGAGGAAAATATTTATTTATTTATTTTGGTTGATAATTACCATAATAATTATCAACAAGAAAGTGAATGGTTTTCATAAATAGGTAAATTAATATGCCGAGGGATTTTCTTGTGCTTTTTGTGCAAGAAAAATAAAGGGCTAACCAACACAAAATTGGATTCTTTATATTATTATGAAAAGCAAGCAGTTTTTTTTCCCTCTCCTGCGAAGGTCAGTCAACAGGAGATAGATGATTAATGTCTCCTGTCCCTCTGCTCAGATTAGGCCTCAGCACATGTATCACCAACCAGCTCCTCTTCCCACTGCTTTGTTCTGAACCGAGCATGTTGGGGGGTTGGGTATAAGAAACAGGGTGTGGTTTCACTGTTGTCATGGCAACAGAGTTATCACTGCTATTGAACCCCCTCTACTAGTCGTGTGTGTGGTGTGAGGGAACTCGGTCAGCAAACGCGAGTATATGCAGGCAAGCTGGCAATATATTACAAATTAGCATTAACCTACATGGAGTCTCGGCCTCTGTGCATGCAATGCCAATAATATGCAGAGCAGGGCAGCTACACACGAACTGGCAGCGTAGGCTTGCTCACTGGTTTCCTAAGCAGTTCGATATGTGCACACCCATTATAGCCTGGTGTAAAGCCAGAGTGATGGGCTCTCAGGGCTCAAACAAGCAAAACCAATCAGTTATACCTGCAGCATCACTCCAATAGTGCTGCGCAGCAATATCTTCCTTAATAGGCTGCTGCTGGTATAAAACACAAGGTTACATGACATACTGGGATTCGTAAATAGGAGTCAGCGGGTTCTCTGCATGTTACTGCGTGGTAGCAAAGAGCGCCTGACCTGCAGGCAACCCCACAGAGGAGGTTAGAGAACATAAAGCAAAGTGCTGATGCCAACATACTGAAGAGAGGTGCTGTCAGATATGTGAGTGATTCTACAAGTCAGTGCACACCTGATTCTCTCAATGTGTGTGAACAAACGAGCACAGGTGAACCCTGATGATATGAAACACGTTATATCAGCTTCTCATCCATAAGAAGATGCATTAACAAATCAAATCCATTTCTGGTCCTTGGACATGAAAAATAATGTATCTATACAATTCACATTATAATATGATAATTTTAGTTATTTTTACCACATGTGGCTAATTAAAAGCTGGGTAAACCCTTTATTCCATGAACTGAAAGCTTCAAATCCAGATCTTTGAATAACACAGTGACAGCTTTATCTACTGAAAAAACACCTCAAGTCAAAACGTCTTTCTGAATACCGGATTTGACTTTACTTATACTGTCATATACTGACCATACGCCATAAAAGGCCTTTGTTTTCAAATATATATGTAGTAAACTACTTCCATCTGGTGGTGAAATGTAGTACTGCTGCAGAACGTACTACAGAGAGGTGGCAAACCAAGGTAACAATACACAGATGAGGAGAAGGATAACAAATGCACATGCTTTCAAATGATGTGAAATAATACGCTGAGGCCTTTAAAATGTCCAGATCTCCACCTACCTTAACCTTCAGATTTTAGACAGCACTGTGGGACTAGATCTAGGAACCATTCAGGTACATCATTCATAAAAAATGATGAACAAGGCCCACAATATATTTGACATCATCAATGAGTAAATAGGAAAGGAATTTGTTCAGTTTTACATCTCTGTTCTCTGAGGCTCTCTTCTGATTGGCTGATTGTTTTCTGCCAGACACAAAGCCCAGCCAACCACAGACTTGTGAATGAATTACTATGATGTGTAAAAAGTGACAATGATAATAATGTATAATAAATGGGAGCTGAGTAGAAGATCTGGATTGTGCAGCTCTGGAGTCACATACCTGCAGAATGAGAACAGTGAGACAAGGTGTCATAATGTTCATTTAGTAAAAAGATATTGAATAATTACATCATTTCATCAGCCTGAATCAACACTGAAACATTAAAGACATTTAAATAATTATCTGCCAGAATCCATAAGGGTTGATGACAACTGTTTTTTAAATTGTTTGTTAAAGGTACAGTGTGTAGAATTTAGTGATATCGAGTGTTGAACACCCCTCACCTCACCCTCTCCTTCCAAACATGAAAAAGAACCTGTGGTAGCTTCAGTTGTCATAAAAACTCAAAAGGTGTTTAGTTTGTCCAGTCTGGACTAATGTAAAAAACATGGCGGCCTCCATAGAGAGGACCCCCTCCATGTAAGTATAAAGTATTTAAATATAAAGGGTCTTTATAGGGTAAAGAAAAATACAATTTAGATGAATTTAGATGAACTATTGAAAACTTCATGAGGATTATTAAATACATTACATTTCTGCCAATAGTTCCCTTTTACCTAAATCTTACACACTGGACCTTTAAATCCAAAAATTGCCAGTGAGAGTAACTTACAACATAATTAAATGTGCCATAGAAAAGACGAAATATTGCAAATCAAATAGTGAATTCAGGGAAATCTCAACAACACTTTGCTTCTGGAACATGAATTACTCATGATTTCATTGAAAATGTATTGACCTAAATTAACATCTGTCGTGTATATTATACACTTAAAGTGGTTGTATTGAACTTAATTTGATGTGTTTGTAAACAAAACAACTTAAATTAATCTTAATAAAGATTTAAAACTCACGTAAAGTTGAACATATGAGTGAAGTCAGTGAAAGAAGTTCTGATCTGCCAGTTTGTGCTCAGTTCCAAAGGCTGCTTAGAGCTGATAGGAACATTTCACAGTTTCATGGAACTGGGCTCTTTTTTTTATTTTTGCAGGTGAGGCCTTGAGGTGAGGCCTCTGCAGTTTCCCTCCAAAAGTGACTTCCTTATTTACTTCCTGATTTCAATAAAATGAATCTTTATTGTCTAAATACAGAGAAGTTGACTGCATCACAGTGAAATTGCTGAAATGCTTTATGTAAAATACAAGTTTCTCTTCAACAATGGTTGTTCAATCCTCATTGACTTTAAAATTATCATTAAGTTTAAAATCCTCAGTAGTGACAGCAGGCTGTCGGCCTAGTCCCACAATATTTACTACATGTTACTTCAATGTAAAAACGTGACCCTTAGTGAGTCACTGACTCTTTTTCAACATGTAAACACCCTGTAGAGACATTTGTTTAATGTTGAATCAACTTCAACCACAAAGAAACTTTTCATGTTGCATTAACAACATTTCTGTCTGTAAACACACAGAACTACATTATAAAGTGGTGAGAAAAGACAAAGTGATAAACAACAACAAACAAACTAATCAGTTCAAATCATTCATGTGTCAGACTTCGAGCAGAGTGAACCCTCTGTAAGATATAAAACAACACAAACAAACAGAAAGAGCTTTTCCTCCATTAGTGAAACATCTTCTCAAACAAATGTCTGGAAGAACAAGAAGTAAAGAGACTGTGGGACTCACTGAATGTTCACAGGAGAGAAGAGTCTGAGATCAGCTGCTTGTCTGGAGACAGAGTCAGAGCAGCTGCTGCTGAACACCTGTCACGTGTGTTTGTGTCTGTGTCACATGACGCAGCATCTTCACCTCTCACACTCACTTCGTATGTTTGCACGGATTCTAAAATGTCCCACAGTTTGGGACTGTGTGTGAATGCAGCACAGATGTTTTCGCGCCCCCACCGGTGAGTGAGGAGGAAGGTGTTCGTGGACAGATCAGAATAAAGACAGAGACAACACAGACCCTCCTGAGACTCGTCCCCGGAGGGACAACAAACACTGCGGCCATGTTTCACGAGAAGTCCGCCTGGTTCTCGCGCAGTGTGCCGGAGACACGACACAACTACTGGAGTAAGTGTCAGCAACATGGAGGAGTTCATTCAAGCTAACCTGCTAATCACCTGATGATGATGTTAACTGTAACACATTAATTCATTTACTGATTGTTGTTCAGGGAAGTGCACAGGTATAAAATAACATAATCACAAAATCTATGGGTACTATTTTATATAGCTATGATGTAAATATAACATATGAAGTGAATGTAACATGTTGTGTGTGATATATAAACACTTGAACAAACATCGGTGTTGTAAGAACTACCCAAAATGACAGAAACCATCTTTGAGGAAAACATATGTAATGTCGATTTCTTTAGTTTGGTCCATTTCCTATCAACTAACATGGAGTAGGCGGCATTTAAGACCTGTACTGCAGCCAGCCACCAGGGGGCGATCGAGGCGCTTTGGCTTCACATTTGAGAGCTGTCGTGTCGTCCATCTTTATGTGTAGTGTATGGACTGATGTGACACAACAATCATAGAAATGCCTTTTAATTCATGTTTTATTTAGTTTCCCTAGAAGAGATCAGTGGTTTCCACATAGTTAAATAGTAGTTCAAATCATTTTCGCAGGAGAATAATTATACCACCACAAATCTTTTAGATTAGATCTCTTCGTTTAGGATCTTTAACCCTACAAGGACTTTGTTTACACACTTTGATTTGGTCGTCTGAGCCTCTTCACATTTTTCTTGCAGTACTTGAGGGGGGAACCGTTGCTGGTTGGAGGACGGCAGATTTTCTTTTCAGCCAGGATGCTACATGTCCAGATACTCTGAGGTGAAAAAAACAAAAATATGCACATTTATCATTTGAAAGTTGTATTTTTTCTATAATCCTATTAAAGATATAACCTGAGTTTTGTGTTTCAGGATATATGAGAGCAGAGATTACCTCTGGAACAAGGTGACGATTTTTCACAGCTTGTTTCTGTCAGCCTGTGAGAAGCGTCAGAGCATAAAGTCAGTGTGCATTGGTCACTATGTGCTGCCTCCAGCCTCCGTACAGGACGGTGAGGATTACTTTATGTTTATTCATTTGTTGTAAACAAAGCTGGACTACCAACCATCCAGCAGTGAGCCCAGACCCTCAGCAGTCTCAAAAGCTCCGGCTCCAGACAATTGAAGTTTAACTAATCTCTATTTCTGTCTAAATAAGTGGATTACAAATGTAGAATTTCAGCTTTAACAGTTCGTCCATCCCCCTTCTCATGGCCCTCGTGGTTTTGTCAAGGTTCCCCTTCTCAAAAACCTGTAATCTTTTTTTATTTTATTGAAACATAATTCCTTGACAGTAATATTTCTTAATTATTGTTTGATTTTTTCAGTATGTAAAATATCATAATTTTTGCTAGAGCAGTGGTTAGTTTCTGGGTGGCTCGGGAGATAATGAAACTGGACCCACAATGAGATCTACACAAACACAAAACCTTTTTTTTTCTTCAAATTGTATGTTGAATCTTTGTTTTTAATTCACAGTTAAATAAACTGGGTAGTTTCACTTCTTCAGTCATTTAAAAACTATTCTGAGAGATCACTCAGACATAATCAACTTGCAGAGGGAATAGTTGTTGCTTTACTTTAATGGATTGAGACAAAAACACAGGAAAACTAGTGAATGACTGATTTCAAAGGAAACCGATTGTATGAATTATAATAAATAGTGTTTCTTTGATTGTAATTTCAGAAGTGAGGAATGTAGTGGGGAGGTTGATTTGGGAGTATGAGGACGAGCTGTCAGTAACACAGGTAAATACACAAAGTAACTTTACACAGACACGCATAAATGTAAACTCCTCAGCTGGGTTCTGTCCTACAGGGTTTTACACACAATGAGTCCAGTGAAGAAGAAGTCAGCAGAAGCAAGTGGGTTTTCAATATAAATATTTAGAATATGATCTAAATGAATTGTAAACTGTGAAGTCAACTGACTCTAAAAGTAATACATCTTTTTACAGTTGTGAACCATCTGACACAGAGTCATCAGAGAGTGAAGGGAACGCGAGTGGTTATTTGCAGGATTATCCAGATAGAAACACGCTTACAGGTGAAGCCTTATTATATGTTATATGAGGAAAATCTTGAAATGTTTTTTTTAATTTTCCATTGGAAGAAGTTATCTGGGTGTGTTAACATCTCACTAATTTGATCTGTTCAACTATTTTCATTAAGGTTATGTCAGCATGGATGAGCTGCAGAGATATTCAGGGGATCTGTGTGATTTCCATGCCGAGTGTTACCATCGCTCCAACTGTTAAATCTACACAAACATGCACTAAGAGGAAAGCGTGTTGAAGAGGAACAAGTAGCAGTTGTGTTACTATCAGCTGCAAGATGTAGATAATGATGTTATTTATTCTGCTTGAATAACCTTCCTGTCTTATATGCAGTGTATAAACTCACATAAAATAAATTAATGTGACACGGCAGATCTCATTTCATCGTATCTGCCAAATGGTCCTTGATTTTTCATGTTGCTCTATGAAATGAGTTTGCTCTGAAAAAGGTAAATGTTAAAAATGTTCTCCATTAATTCAGTTTTTTTTGTTTGTACTTCACATAGAGGGACGACACATGAAAGCAAATCAAATAGTAAATAATCAAAACCAAAGAAACTAATAACTAAACTATTCCCATGGTTAAAAGCTGTAT